TGAAAATTGGCCGTTTGCATCCCAAATCCCCCTCCCCATTCATGGCAGCAGTGGAGGCATTTTTTCCTTTGTTAATCCCTCCCTGCTCACACAGAGGGACTGGATTTTCTGAAAGAAAACAGTGCTGGTGCAGTCCTCCTTCCTCGTACATGACGGCTCCATTCCAAATGGGGCCTGCCTGTACTTACACCAAAGAGAAGTAATGCTAATTCTCAACAAGACACTACTACATGCGATGCCATTAACATGCAGTTTGGCTCCTACTAGTGCATGTTATATGACAAAATCTAACATTCTGGGCCAAGGTCCTCATGAGAGGGACAAAAAAATGGCAAAATAACAGTTCTTAACAGCCGGGATATCTGTATGGCTGAGGGCAGATCAAAATTGAGAGCCAGTGTGGTGTAGTGGTTAAGAATGTGGGACTGGGACTCAGGCGATCTGGGTTCTAGTCCCCGTTCAGCCATGGAGCCAACTGGGTGACTTTGGGCCAGTCACAGACTCTCAGCCCAGCCTACTTCACAGGGTTGTTGCTGTGGGGATAAGATGGAGGAGGAGAATGATGTAAGCTGCCTTGAGCCCTTTGTAGGAAAAGGCAGGATATAAATTGGGGGAAAAAAATTGTATGAAGACCCTTGCCCACTGCCCCAAATGGCAGCCCCTTGTCTAAACCCTCCTCTACCTCTGGAACATCTTCTTTATCATAGTCTATGGCTTGTGGTCCTTACAGCAGCACACATCACATGGATGCCATGAGATCTATACTGAATGAAATGTTACAGAGGTGGCACTTGGTGGAGGCAGTGGCTCTGATTGTTTTAGTGAACATGCGGTTCTGCCTTCAGCCATTCAGATTAGTCAATAGAGCTGCCCAATCCAGTCATGACTGATGCTCTGAGCCAGGCAGCCCTGTGCTGATTCCAGTGGAAGTTGGCAAGCGCTTCCTTAACTTGAAGAGCTCTTTTGAGAACAGGGGCATACGCAGCTGTGGGTCAGTCCAAAAGATATAAACAGCCTTTGTACTTGCTCTGCACAGCTGCTCAGAGGGGCTGACCCGGGATATGTACCAGCAATTTGCCTTCTATTCAGACAAGTCAAGGAGCTTATGGTAAAATCAGCCAAGGTTTCCAAGAGAGATGATATTCATGTATATTGAGTTAATTGAGCACTATTATGTATTTCAGATTAAAGGCAGTGACTCCAGCCCTCGTTTGCACCTGTAGCAATTCTTTTTTTCCCTTACTGATCAAACTACATTAACAGCTTTTGTCTGTAGAGATGTTAGTGCCTGTTTGCCTCGAAGTGTGTCTGCCCCTTGACTGCTGCAATGGGTGGAAGTAACAGCTGTGTTTAGTGCTATGCAATGGCTCAAAGTAATTAATTTGATGTGAGAATCTTTTGGAGGAAACGTGTAGGTGTAGGAGGAGAGTGATTGCAATCTAAAGTGTTCCTGGGTAAAAGCTACAGCTATGTACTCTGCACATACTCATAATGAGGGTTTTTCATTACTGAAGTTTGGAAACAAAACATGCACCATTTTCAGCACTGAGCTGATAGCAGCTAGGAACAGCTGGAATGGAATATGGGAAGGAGTAGGAGTAGTTCCTGGCAGGGAACCATCGGTCAATGATTTTAATTCTTAGGTGGCCCATAAGAGTACACATTCAAATGAAAGAGGATACAAGGTAATACCAGGCAGAAATGGCCGCAGGCAAGTTGAAAGAGGACAGATAGACAAGGTCTACAACAGACCACTGTCCAACAGGGGAAGGCATACAGGCTGCGTTCAGACATCTTGACAAGCCATGGTGGTTTTTCACCAGTGTTCATCTATTGTGTTGTCTGAACACAATTGCGGTATTTTTCCATGATAAATTTGCTCTTCAGAAACTATGATAAGAAATAATGGTTTGTTCTATGGCTGCTCCATACCACTATGGTTTGTCATAGTGTCTGAACCCAGGACATGGTTTCCATGCTCCTGGTGTACAACTACCATAGAGTCTTCTGGAAAGAATAGCAACTGCAGGAGCCACTCCAGCCATCCAACCTGTTTATGTGGACTATTGAGGAAGAGGCATACAATATAGGTAGGAAGGGATGCAACTTGAGAATGAACTGATGGGATTGGGATATGTAACTGATGGCTACAGTGGGAGGACTGAGTGGAGAGGATGGAAACCATGATAAAGTGGAAACCACTTGATTGTCAGATAGATCGTGGTAAAACAAGCAAACCTGTGAACCATGGTAACCATGCAGGTTTGCTTGTCATTTTGCATGAAGGCAGCTGCACACTAAAACTAGGTGGATACTTTGATGCTGGCCAAAGCCGTAACCGAATCAAGCTGGTTTGGGCAGTTTCAAGAGATGTTAAATTGAAGCAGGGAAGGCAAGGCAACAGCAGGGGTGGCTGCAGCAGAGGGAAGGTGAAGGAAAGGCGGGGCATCTGGGATTCAATGGGATCTTGCTGGCACACTGGAAGTCTTGGAGGACACCAGTGTGTCCATGGATGCCAAATCTGTGGAGTTTGCCATTTTCATATAAATTGCCAAATGTACCCATGGAAGGGGTGGTAAAGGGAAGTGAATCACTCTCCCAAACCTGAACACACTCATCCTATGCAAAACATCCTGCGCTTCTCTTTCTGAAATGTTGCAATTTTTTAAACTAGGGCCTTGTGCCACTTTGACAATTGTCCACAAAAAATGTAGGAGGAAAAGCTCATCCCTGTTCATAAACGCTGGAACTACAAAGGTAGCTCTTGTGCATACCCTCCACCCCTGGCCCAAAATGGTGCATCTGAAAATGGTTAGGCTTGATGCCTTTGGATGGGACCATAACAGAAAGCCAGCAGGGAATCCTCACTCCCCAGGCCAGCTGGGCCAAATCCTGGACCACCCTGGACCAGCCACTGAATTCAGCACATGGCAATCCCAAACGTGGGGAAACAAACAACTCAATGAAAAGGTCACAGTATAGGGATGGAGGGACTAAAGCACAGAGTCTAAAAAGGATCAAAACAGGAATGAAGGGGAAGATGGATGAAAGGGGAATTGGACAACAAGACCAGTTACAGCTGGACAAGAATCCTGTACCAAGGACCTTGTTGGCCTACTGGGGCAAACAAATAACAGCTTCTGTCCTAACCTGTGTACAGTAACTCTACCTTCTAACACAGGATATGCAGGATGCATTGGGGAAATGGCCGCAGGAGTGAAACTTCCTGGAGAGGAACAAAAGGCTGCTCACTTCTTCGGACTGCATCCCACCCCCAGCCCAGGTCAGCTGACCGTAGGGGGTAGCCCACCTCCCAGGCCTTGGTGCCAGCCATTAATTCTGGGTTCCGATCATTAACCAGCCATTGTCTGTTATTGCTGGCATCCTTGAGGCCAATTCTAATAGTTCTCACCTCACACAAAAGGGAGGAGGATGTCTCCAAAGACCTTGGGAGCCAGATTCCCACTAGACTGGCAGCTGGTATTTCCAGTGTTTTGTCAGCTCCTCAACTAACCCTTCCTAGGCCTTCTGGAGCATCGAAAGCAGGTTCACATTACAGGAACAACCATCATTTTAAATTTCATCCCATTCTGTCTAGAAATAAAGTTGTCTGCAGTTCCTTTTTATATAAAAATAAAAACGAATCAATCAAATTTAAAGGCATGTAGCACGAAATACCCTGCAGCTATTTGTCTGAGAGTTGACAGACATAATCCACGCACAAGGAGCTGCGATGCCTGTGAACAGCAACCACTTTGGCCAAAGACAGAAAACAGTGATTGCCGTCAGTTGATTTCCAATGATAGTCTGTAAGAGGTAGGAAGATGTGGGTTTTCAAATCAAGATTCAGATTCAGACCTGAGTCAAAGCAGGCCGCTTTGGGATCAGTGTGAGCCAAACTGAGCTTCCCTCCTGAATGCCTGAATTAGAATCTAAACCAAGTGTTGTGGGTTGGTGCACACCTCTATGTAACTCAAGCAGGCACCCTGGGGAATGTTATTGTTTGGAGCCAGAACTTTCTGCCTACCTCTGATGCTATTTCCTCCCATTGCCTGTGGTATAAAAGTGACAGGTGCCCACAGGAATTAGGGGGGACATCCAAAATACTTGAGTAGGTGTGACTGAGCAGAAAAAACTGCTTGCTTCCCATCAAAAATGAAACAAAGCTAGAAGCAAAGATAGTAATTCATTATATTCATAAGTCCTATAGAAGGGTGATTTTGAAAAATGGCCTAACCAATGTATATCCTGATATTCTCTCTAGGCTAGACTAAGCTAAGGCCTTGGCTTAGAAGGAGTGCGCTATGTCACCCCTCTGCGGTGTTATCTTAATATTGCACTGACTGGGGGTGAAGTGGAAAGAGATTTGTTTAAGGGAAGCCTGCAATTAGTTCACAGTAATGCATTTTGCAGCAGTGTCACAACACACTTTTCTACAATCATCAAGCCACTGAGGGTCTAGAGCAGTGGTGGGAAACATGTGGCACGTGTGCCACAGCAGGCATGCAGATCCCTCTACATTGGCACGTGAGCCAAGTCGCCCCAGCATCACCGCAGCAGCCAAACATCAGCTAACGGCGCACATAGAGGACATGTGCATGCTCGGAACAGAGTAGCGGCGCCAGGAGATAACATCACGAGCCACAAATAATTAGCTGTGACTCGTTCGAGCTATTGCATGGCCGGTCAGTGGCTGCCAAGGAGAGAGAGAGAGAGAGAGAGAGAGAGAGAGAGAGAGAGAGAGAGAGAGATGGAGATGCTTGGACTGGATGTGAGTTGTTTTATCTAAACTAAAACCTCAGTTTTCAGGTTAGATTGCAGTATTGGCACTTCGCAATAAATAAGTGGGTTTTGAGTTGAAGTTTGGGCACTCGGTCTCTAAAAGGTTCACCATCAGTGGAATATGGATAGAAAAATGAGGGGTTCAGGCATGATTTCAATGGTTGGAAAGTGCTTAGAATGGGCAGAAATGTTGAACTGTGCAAAAAAGAGACTCAAGAAAGGCTTTTTGAAAATGGCCTCGTTTCAATGGAAATTAAGCCTTATATTAGGGTTAGGGGTGTGCACCAGGGCAGGGTTAGGTTAGAAAAACGAGATGTCCTGGCATGACTTGGATGGCTGCAACGTGCTTAGAATGGGCAGAAATGCTGAGCTGTGCAGAAAAAGCTACTCAAGAAGACTTTTTCAAAATCACTAGTTTTCAATGGAACTTTAGTCCTACATTAGGTTGAAATTTTTTATTTAAATAAAAACATACTACAAAGGTACAAAAAGGCCCAAAAATTGCAACATTACAAAAATAGAAAGTACCCCATCCGTTATTTACATCCGTTCAAAATGCCAAATGTACACAGATTTTCAAGATTCCCAGGCTTTACACATCAAATTTACAAAAAGAACTTTGTATAGACTTTTCCTGATAGCTTCATGCCATG